TTTGTTTTGGGCTAAGCTGTAACGTTAGTGCCTTTGTATCTTTGTATTTTCTTTTTTCATTTCTTGAAGTTCTTTGTGACTCTTGGAAGATAAGTGTGTTTGTCTTCCACTTGTAAATTTTCTATTGATGAATTAATGAAAGTGTTATTGATCAAAAAAAAAAAAGATAAACATATATAGAAACTTGACCTAATTTTCATGATTCTTCCTCTTTTTTCATGTCTGCACCAGTAAATGTGAATGGCAGGAGGAAAAGAACATATATTCATATAACCAATAGAAAAGGTGTAAAGTAATAATGTTCAAATATGTAAGACTATACATTTGAAGGATCCCTTATTTATAAATTGCGATCTCTTACTCCTAAATTGTTGAACTTGAATTTTCGTTGTTAGATATTGAAATTTTGTGTAACCATCCAACATTAAGTGGGAAAGGGAGGGAGGGAATTGGTCTAGCAATTTGCATTTTAATTGGTATGAGGTTCTTTTTTTCTTGATATCTGAGCCTTTGGTTGGTTTAAACAGATGAAAATGCCTCAGATGCAACAGTCCTCCTCTCAACAACAGCAGGACCAGCTCCAACAGCAGCAACTGCAACAGGTTGTGTTATTCATATAGATAAAGAAAATATTTTTAGAGACGGTTTAATTTCTGCATATCAAGATTAGGTTCTCTTTTTGGCAGCAATTACCAGTAGGATCTTTAGAACCTACTTCATCATATTCCTACATATTTGAATTTTCTATGTCTTTTCAAAATTTCCATCCATCATGCTTAACTATCAGACTGTCTGTTCAGATGATACAAGTAACTTAAAAAATTGTAAGAAAGTAGAGGTGTGTGAAAGGCCCTATGAGATCATGCCTTTTTTTGATTGATAACAGAAACTTTTATTAGATAATAAGAAGAATCAGCATATGTAAGTATTCTTAAACATCCCCAAACATAGAAGCCAGCATAAAACTCTCCCCATCATGATTCCACTATTTCATTTAATTTTTTACATCACTGTTTCCCTTAAAAGTCCCAAAATATCTCTTGTCTATCTATCCCTTGTTTTTGCCAATGCATCTGCTAAGCAAGTGGCCGACTGATAAACTCATGGAAGAAAATTTGATTCTTGATCCATTGAATTACCACCTTTGAATCCCCTTCCATTATCAGATTTTTTATATGCAGGCTTTGGCCACCCTAAGCGCTTGTACTGCTGTTGTAATTTTTGCTAGTATGGGATTACCTTGACCAAATGGTGCTGAATAGATGGCCAAAGTATTCCCATAGGAGTCCTTGGATGCTGCTCTTATACCTGTTGGGCCTGGAATGTCTCTACTGCGTCCATCATAATTCATCTTGGTCCTATACTCTGCAGGATGAGACCATTGGGCTGATATGAGAGGTCTTGCTATAGAAGAATTTGCCACCCAAGTCCATCTTCTAATGATATCTTTAATAGAAAAGAAGTCAAATGTCTCAAAGTTTTGACCAAATGTGCCACCCTAATTGAGATATAACCAATGATGGCATTTTTGGACCTCTCTGTATCATTTAATAATCTGTCATTTCTCTCTTCCCAAATCATTCATAAGATGGCTGCTGTTGTGCATCTCCAAAGAAATTTTGCCCTTTTTTCTTGATGGATAAGAACTTTTTCCCTTTGAGGCTAAAGATGTTGGGTTGAAACAACCCATTACATCCATGTGGAGACCACCTACAACCAAATAGAGCAGAGAACCATTCCTAAATTCCAGTTGCAAAAGATGGGAGATTAGCAAGTAGTTAGTTGTTTCCCCATCTGCAAAACATAAAAGGCAAACATGATGAGATAAGCACCATCTTGGTTATTTCCTTTGAAGATTCTAGCTAGAGTTAGTTTTCAAGTGAAACACTTCCCAACAAAGGCCTTCAGCTTAGGTTGCAATGGTCCAATCTAAATTTCCTTGACGGAAAAGGTTTGTGGAAGGGCAGTGAAAAAGGAAGCATAAAAGATTCTGGAAGGAGTTAGAGTCCAAATTCTATCATTAACCTTGGAGGGATCAAGAAAAACACCCTCTAGGTGATTAAGGAGTAAGTAGAAGGTACTTCAGACTCCTTCAATCTTCTTCTATACAAATGAGAGATGGGCAAAGTTTTAAAGGATGGTAGGGTATAAAAACAAGGAAGAACTCTTTAAGTGGTCTATCCCCCCACCCAAGGTCCTCCCAGAATTTGACTTTATTCCTTGAGCAAAGGCTCTAATGCAGTTAAAAAAAGAGGAAAGGATACCAACAATGGTTTTCCATAGGAGATTGGCATTGCTCTTAAAGATAGTGCAGAATCCCAGCCAATAGGATGTGCTCCATAAATGTTCCTAACCACCAAATGCCAAAGCTTATCCATCCTTTGGATCTCCATAATCTAGAATAGCCAAATCTATTTTCTTGACCTCCTTAAACCTAAGCTCTCTATCTCCATTTTGCAAACCAAACTAAGTAGTCTTTCTAGGTTGACACAATATTTTCTCCAATCTCTTTGCCACCACCATAGGAATCCTAAATGTGGAAAGGTGGGCAATAAATGGGTAAGTTTGCTAGGGTTGGTTTACTCTAATTAAAGT